GGCACAGTCCTGGGAAGTAAAGGCGGTTGTTGACATCATCCTTCAAGTGCCAACTGGTCTATAAAAAATAGGTCTAGCCCTATATGCCTAATACACCTGAAGGTGTGGAAAAGGGTCCTTTACTTTACTGACTCCACTGCTGAAGAGTTACGCTGTCATGGTGTTGTGATCAGTTTATGAATGGAAACGGAAGGGACACCCTTAATAACAGGACACATGAAATCATCACAATAAGGCATGAAATATCATTCAAGAATTTGTCTGACTTCAAAAAATATCATATCATAAATAGATGAATATTAAAATATGAACTCAAATGCTGTAATCGTAGAATATGTAGATCAATTAATAGTAATATCACAGCAAGGAAATCAGGTGTTAAATACTTTCCAGAGGCCTAAAACAAAAACACACACAACACACACATACAAATTGTGAAACATGACTAGACCTATGACATCTACCACTAATGCTAACCAGGGTTTGTAGTCAATCAATTTCAAGGTCGTTTTCAAAGTAGTCTTATGTTTTGGTTAAAGGTTTTGTCTTGGTAAAACTGGCAAGGTATTATTTGATTTGTTCAAGGGCGTACCGAGCACACATACTTTATTCGTGGGCACATATGTGGGTATACCAGCACACATATAGTGTTTTAAAGAAAAAAAATGTATAGACTTGGATTTCAAGTCGTGAGTGAACGACCCTTGGCTATCTTCCGAATAACGGGCACATTTTATGCCGGTCAAAAAAAGGGCCTCAGTCACATGTAAACTGCGAACTTCCGGCGACCTAATTTGCGGATTTCGGCGACTACTGCCACCACCGAGAGTATTTCCCACGCCGCTACGTGGAATGGGGCTAAACTAGACGGCTGGGATTCATGAGCAGCAGCTTTGCTCGTCTAGTTTAGCCCCAATCGCCGCTATGCGCGGCATGGGAGATACTCTTGGCGGTGGCGGTAGTCGCCGGAAGGTGCAAATTAAGTCGCCGGAAGTGCGCAATTGACATGCGACTGAGGCCCTGTTAGGGTGTTTTTGCAGCTGCCATAATATGTGCCTGTTATTCGGAGTACAGCCGGACCCTTTTTTTTCAATGTCAGCGGCACATTGGGCACATTAGTGCTAGACTCATACTGTTAGAGACCAATTCCCCCCCCCCCCCCCCACATCAGTGAATCCATCAAAACATTTATTTCCTTCCACTCTGTCCAGGCACCAGCCAGTGAAGGTCTGCAGGTCACCAGCCAGTGAAGGTCTGCAGGTCACCAGCCAGTGAAGGTCTGCAGGTCACCAGCCAGTGAAGGTCGGCAGGTCACCAGCCAGTGAACAGGTCACCAGCCAGTGAAGGTCTGCAGGTCACCAGCCAGTGAAGGTCTGCAGGTCACTAGCCAGTGAAGGTCTGCAGGTCACTAGCCAGTGAACAGGTCACCAGCCAGTGAAGGTCTGCAGGTCACCAGCCAGTGAACAGGTCACCAGCCAGTGAAGGTCTGCAGGTCACCAGCCAGTGAAGGTCTGCAGGTCACTAGCCAGTGAAGGTCTGCAGGTCACTAGCCAGTGAACAGGTCACCAGCCAGTGAAGGTCTGCAGGTCACCAGCCAGTGAACAGGTCACCAGCCAGTGAAGGTCTGCAGGTCACCAGCCAGTGAAGGTCTGCAGGTCACCAGCCAGTGAACAGGTCACCAGCCAGTGAACAGGTCACCAGCCAGTGAAGGTCTGCAGGTCACCAGCCAGTGAACAGGTCACCAGCCAGTGAACAGGTCACCAGCCAGTGAACAGGTCACCAGCCAGTAAAGGTCTGCAGGTCACCAGCCAGTGAACAGGTCACCAGCCAGTGAACAGGACACCAGCCAGTGAACAGGTCACCAGCCAGTGAAGGTCTGCAGGTCACCAGCCAATGAAGGTCTGCAGGTCACCAGCCAATGAAGGTCTGCAGGTCACCAGCCAATGAAGGTCTGCAGGTCACCAGCCAGTGAAGGTCTGCAGGTCACCAGCCAGTGAAGGTCTGCAGGTCACCAGCCAATGAAGGTCTGCAGGTCACCAGCCAATGAAGGTCTGCAGGTCACCAGCCAGTGAAGGTCTGCAGGTCACCAGCCAGTGAAGGTCTGCAGGTCACCAGCCAGTGAAGGTCTGCAGGTCACCAGCAACTGTTTTGGCTGTTCTCCATGCTTCCGCTCTGTCCAGAAGTACCGATTTGACATCAGTTACAAAAATTTTAAGTTGAATAAAAACCTAGTTTTGACTTCCTGTTTAGTTTGCGCTAATTTTTTTCACCTGCAGCTCTACGCAGAAAGAATATGACCCACTGACACAATAAAATTATCAATTAGTTCACACTTGAGCATTAACATTATTTCATTATTCTGGCCTGCACATGAATATAAATTGAACGTGTCCAATACATCACCATTATTCAAATAATTCTGGCCAACATATTAACATGAACTAAATCTGGCCAACACATTAACATTATTAAAATATTTCTGGCCAATAAATTAATATTAATTAAATCTAGCCAATACATCAACGACATTCAATAATTCTTAAAAGCACATTTACACCATTAATTGAAGTTGAAGTTTGAACAACGGATCAATATTATGATCACGTCACATGGGTAGTAACCCATTAAGTGCTTCGTTTTTTCTTAAAACTCAAGTCTGAGTCCGAAGAAGCTCAGCACAGTGCACAGGCTCTGTAGCACTGGCAATATTCTGAAATACTTTGTGTAGATTTTTAACTCCAAATTTTGCCCGGGCAGCGACGTTAGGCTATTCTTTTCGATTTCCAACTGCCAAGGGATTTTTTTATGTGCGCACAATGCACACTGGCGTCCGATCTCACTACCCAGAGACCAGTGGAAATACTAGAAGTCCAAGTCCGGGGATTGAACCCAAAACCTCTAGCACTCGAGGCGGACACCATGCCTCAAGACCACGCAGCCCCATTAATTGAGTTCAGCTAATACAATAAAACAATTAAATCAAATATACATATTACCAAATCAGTTAACTCTTGTGCATACATTAACAATTAATTACGGCTAGCACATCAACATTATCAATTGGCTATCGAATATGAATATGAATTATTAATTCTGACCAGCTTTGAAAAACTTGCAACTAATTCTAGCCAGTATATTCAATTATTAATTAATTCTAGCTACGACATGAACTCTATAAATGTATTCCGACTAGAACACAAATTTCACAATCTGTTTAAATTCCCACTGATCACTGGCATCATGAGAGCTAATAGACTGAAATAGTTGGGGCGTATTGAAAGAATGTCAGATAAAAACTGTATACATCAGGAAGATGAATGGTCGTAGACCACGAGAGAGACCAAATAGACAATGAAGAGATAATGTCCAGACAGACCTGCAAACACTTGGTGTCACCAATTGGACAGAGAAGGCCAACCAGAGAGATGAGTGGAGGTGGGTGATATCTGCAGCAATGAACCTCAAGGGCTCAAAATGCTGAAGAAGAAGAAGACATGAATATTTAATTCTGGTGAGCCCCATGAAATGATCAGTTAAGTCTTGCAAGGACATAAGCTTGATCAACTTTTTCTTCTTCTTCTTCTGGGTTCACCTTTGAAATGGCTGTCACATACATGGGAACATCAATTAAATCTAGCTAACAAACAAAAGTTTCAATTACTTCTGGCTAGCATAGAAACAGTATTAAATACTTATGGCTAGCACATAAACATTATCAATTGTTATGGCTTGAACATGAAAATTAAAATTAATATTGTTCCTCTTAAAATACTTTGACATTTTCCTGGTACATATTTTGATGGGACTGGTTAAATCACAGGAATGTTGTTCATATAAATATTCTTGACCGAAGGTAGTTCTGAGTCGAGAAATCTCAGGCAACAAAGTAGGTTTTATTCCCATGTGGGTTCTGGGGATCCACTGTAGGGACACCAACAACAGACTCACTGCCTCCCCAGCAAGCATGTCGTGAGAGTCGACTAACTGGGGGATTCCTTCGAAGATGGAGTGCATCTGCCTTATAGTCAAGGAACCAACAATCTGCATACAAAGAAGCTAAATTTTTAAAAACAGATGTGCACACAACACTCAGGTTCTGGAACAAGACTGAAGTCCAGAGGTGGACGAACAACCAGAACTTTCCACCAGAGTAAAGGCTGATGATGAAATAGTTTTCATATACTTCTTCTGCTGACTGACTGTCTACCCCACCAGAACATCACACAAGCGATAAACACCCGATGACACAAAGTGTCACCATGTAGATAAGGACACCCGATGGCACAAAGTGCCACCATGTGGATGAGGATCACCCATGGAGAGGTTCTGGAAACCGCATTCAGCCATTAGACCATATTTATGGCCGGGTTATATTGCTGCCCCTGGCAAGAGCCAGAGTAGGGCTTCAAAATAACGAAAAATTGCATCCCATTAAGGGATGACTAAGTTACTTCTTCTTCTGCATTCATCCTTCGAAAGATGGCTGGCATGCTGCATTGTGCTTTCAGCTAGGCTGCAACATCTGTAGGTTTTGTTCTGACATATTTAATGTCAGCAAACCCATTATTAGTTCACCAGTGTGGGCAGTGGGTCTACCCCCCGCCCTCCCCCTCCCTTAAACCCATTCCTAAGAGACCCTAGAACCCACATCGGAAGCATCCACAGGGTCTCCGCGACTTAAGCCTGAGTTTCTGTCACCTGACAGGTCATCAATCAAGTCAGTCATAAGATGAACCACAATATTTTCATTCAAACGAGCATTAAATTGTACTCAATCATAAACATTCAATCTATGTCAGTATAATTACACCCAGGCACATTGTGCACTCTTGGAATCAGATTCAAGAACTTGTTTACCCTACCAATATAGCTACCTTTCTTTCTTCACTATTGTTATTGACTGATTTGTTTGTGGTGGTCAGTGCAAATGTTGTTAAGTCGCATAGATCATAAGTCGAGGAAAAAGTGGATAACAAAACAGTTAAATATTTATGAGAGCTTCAAGATCCTGGCTTATCACTGGACCCTGGAGATTTCCGTGCAATCTCTATCGTCACCGACTTGCCATCATTCAAATTCCTGGCCAGTTTTTCACCTGAAACAGCATTGTCAAATGACCCGCGACGACTTGGCTTGAGAGACCCTGAGTTGCGACGGCTGTCAGTGACGGACTTGGTAGAGTTTCTACCACTTTCACTGCCGGGAGATTCAGGTTTAGGGATCTGCCCGGAGTATCGGTGCATGAGATCGATGGCTTCGTTCACAATCCTGTCTCCACAATCTTCAGGTATCTGGTCAGAGAAAGCATTAGTAAATAGATTATCGTTTTCTACCCAGCCAAATAATTTTTTTAAATGTATGTCATCTCTACAATCAAGTCTACAGTGTGATCAGTTTTGTTTTTGGTAGTATGAAGCGCCTCAACTCTTCCATGGCGCAACTGGTGCACCATCGTCCCCAACAAGGAGAATGGTGCCTATGGCATAGCACAGTGGTTCTCAACCTGTCTGGAGTCACAGCCACATTTTACAGAGGCAACCCATGTCCCCCCCATAGAGTAAAAACTGGCTGTTGAACTGGGTAAATAAAACACACAGTCAATATTTTCAGTATAATTTATTTAATTCAAAATCATATTAACAGAAATATTTAATGTGATGACTGAAATTGCTGGAGAGCAGCGCCCACATTTTGTAAACAAGTGAATTTTTGTTGACGGTTGCTAAAAATTGTAATTTCACTGACGACCCACTCCCCCTCCCCCCCCCCCCCCCCCAACCCTTTACAATCCCAAAAGGGGTCACAACCCAAGTTTGTAATCCTGAAACAGCTGGTTCAATTCCAGTTGAGGCTATTTGGCAGCAGACCAGCCTGGCTTGATTCTGAAGATAGTACGAAGCACTGACCATTCAGAAAGCAATGGCAAATAACTGAACATCACATCGCCTTCAAAATTATCATGGAAAGGATATGCAAGTAACTTTTGTTTTAAAGGAGTAATTGTAATACGTACAATTACTACTTTAAAACAAAAGTTACTTGCATATCCGTGTTCAGTAGTTAAAATGCTGGGTTCTCAAGCGGAAGACCCAGGTTTGAATCCTTGCTATCCCCGTACAGACTCTAGGGCTCCATTTTGAAGAAAAAAAGAACAGACCCACTGCTCCCTAAGCATGTCCTTGCAGGCGACCAATTAAGGGTACCTGCCTTTAACTTTAACCTGCACAGTTTGTGGCAACTGCACTTGGCTGAAAATCCCATAGTCCTACTATGCTAAAAAAAAAGTGGCAGTTTGCAGTCAAAAATTGTCCTTATTTCCTGAATGAACCAGTTTTTTTCAAGTAAAGCAAGTGTCAGTTGTAGCTACAAGTGTCAGTTGTAGCCACAAGTGTCAGTTGTAGCCACAAGTATCAGCTGTAGCCACAGGTGTCAGCTGTAGCCACAGGTGTCAGTTGTAGCCACAGGTGTCAGTTGTAGCCACAAGTGTCAGTTGTAGCCACAAGTGTCAGTTGTAGCCACAAGTGTCAGTTGTAGCCACAAGTGTCAGTTGTAGCCACAAGTATCAGCTGTAGCCACAAGTGTCAGTTGTAGCCACAGGTGTCAGTTGTAGCCACAAGTGTCAGTTGTAGCCACAAGCAAGGCTTTCTGTCAGTTGTAGCCACAGGTGTCAGTTGTAGCCCCAAGTGTCAGTTGTAGCCACAAGCAAGGCCAGAGTTTAACGCCAGTGGGTGCAAAGAAGAAGAAAAATCCAGATTAAGTCGGACTTTTAACACATTTTTTTAGGTTTAAACCTTAGCTCCCAAGTTGATCCAGCCTCAAATAATTATCAGGTAAAGTCACAGCGCATGTAAGTCTACACAAATATCGTCTAGCATCATATGTATGAATGAATGAATGCGTTTGTATGCCTGAGTGTATGTGTGCATGTGTGTGGATGGATTTATGAGTGTGTGGGTGTCTGTATGAATGTATATTCTGTCTATGCACCCATGTGTATGTATGAGTGCATGTGTGTATAAAGGTGACTGTGCATGTGTGTGTGCATTTGTGTGTATGAGTTTAAGTGCAAATGTGTGTAGGTATGAGTGTGGGTGCTTGTATGTGTCTGTATAAGCACAAGCGCATGTTTGTATTTTTATAAGTGTGTGTGCATGAGTGTGTGTGTGTGTATATATGAGTGTGCTTGGGTCTGTGTACATATAGGCATACATGAGTGTACATGTATGTATGTATATACAGTGTGCATGCTTGTGTATTCTTGATGTGTGTATGCATGATTTCATTATGTATATTTGTATATAACCATAACATGCATTATTGATAACATGCAACTGTGGTCTGAAAGAGGAGTGCTTGGAAGAGCCAAATGTAAGACAGGCCTGCGTGCCCAATTTGTAAACCTTCAAACATAAAGTCTGTTCATTTGTTCCTATGCCCGATGCATCACTGGCATCAAAAAGGGACCTTGACCTTACTTTTATCTATGGAAAGATTATAAAACCGAACTGAGAGTAGATCAGTGAGCTTCATAATATAGTAAACACAAACAAAACATGAACGTTGCGGCTGCAGAGTCTTCACTAGCACATAATAAATCAAACAAAACCGCACGAATACACACAATTGATACTTGTATCTATGAACACGACAAATTATCACTGATTCAGTCCTTCAACACTTGGGCGCAGAGATATAACTTAAGATCCAGTGAGTCAACACTTAGGCGCAGAGATATGGGGCCATTGAGTTATCCGTATGTGTCGATTCCTCCCCACCAAATGTATGGTTGACACATTCCGTTTCTGGGGACAGCTTTTATCGAGTTTGCTCTCTAGACAGTTGCAGTCCCCTGCTGACGAGATTCTGTCTTCCCGAGTGGACCGCCGCGATCAAAACATTGCGAAGGCAGCGTGGTCGAGGCTGCCAAAACTATCGGTCATTATCCCGCCCCGACACAGCACAACCACAATACACGCTGTTCCCACGAAAAACACATAATATCCTGCGTTGGAAATGCGCATAAAATAGCAGTCCATTATTATAGAGAATTGACAGCCAGCGACAATAAACACAGCTGCTGTCCGCCATTTTGAAAACGGAAGTGGCGCAGAGATATAACTTAAGATCCAGCGAGTCAACACTTGGGCGCAGAGATATAACTTAAGATCCAGCGAGTCAACGCTTGGGCGCAGAGATATAACTTAAGATCCAGTGAGTCAACACTTGGGCGCAGAGATATAACTTGAGATCCAGCGAGTTAACACTTGGGTGCAGAGATATAAATTAACATCCAGCGAGTCAACACTTGGGCGCAGAGATATAACTTAAGATCCAGCGAGTCAACACTTGGGCGCAGAGATATAACTTAACATCCAGCGAATCAACACTTGGGCGAAGAGATATAACTTAACATCCAGTGAGTCAAGACTTGGGCGCAGAGATATAACTTAAGATCCAGCGAGTCAACACTTGGGCGCAGAGATATAACTTAAGATCCAGCGAGTCAACACTTGGGCGCAGAGATATAACTTAACATCCAGCGAATCAACACTTGGGCGCAGAGATATAACTTAAGATCCAGTGAGTCAAGACTTGGGCGCAGAGATATAACTTAAGATCCAGCGAGTCAACACTTGGACGCAGAGATATAACTTAACATCCAGTGAGTCAAGACTTAGGCGCAGAGATATAACTTAAGATCCAGCGAGTCAACACTTGGACGCAGAGATATAACTTAACATCCAGTGAGTCAAGACTTGGGCGCAGAGATATAACTTAAGATCCAGCGAGTCAACACTTGGACGCAGAGATATAACTTAACATCCAGTGAGTCCACACAAAAGAGAGCTAGCCCTGGAACTACAACCATAGGAAGGAATGTTACCTCCCTTCTGTGAAATTTAGGCTCAGCACATTCTTCATCTTTTGCTTTTGGCCTTCAAACGGTGGTTGGCAATAAAATAATAGACCCATTGTTTTCTTCACAAGCATCGGCACAGACAGAAAGGTGCAGAGGTCACAGCCTAGCGGTAAACCACAACACAATCTGACAACAGCCTATTCTGAGAGTGAATACAGAAGAATACTTAGTACTGACTTGACCTCAGCAATCTGACGATGAAGATGATATTGTGATGAGTCAATGTGACGATGATGACATTGCAACGATGATACAACAATGTGATGATGATGTCATTGCAACAATGATAAACAATGTGACGATGTCATTGCAACGATAACACAACAATGTGACGATGATGTCATTGCAACGATGATACAACAATGTGACGATGACATTGCAACAATGATAAAACAATGTGATGATGATGTCATTGCAACAATAATACAACAATGTGACAATGATGTCATTGCAACGATAATACAACAATGTGATGATGATGTCATTGCAACGATAATACAACAATGTGACGATGTCAATGTGATGATGATGTCAATGTGATGATAATACAACAATGCGACAATGATGACACTGCAACAATGATACAACAATGTGACTATGATGTCCGTGTGACGATGATGACATTATAATGACATTGCAACAATGATACAACAATGTGACTATGATGTCCGTGTGATGATGATGTCAATGTGACGATGATGACATTATGATGACAAGATGATGATGATAATGATGACATGATGATGGTGTATGGTGATGATGAAGCACTCTGAGAAGATTGACCTGTTTGAGGTAGCTGATCATGTCTTCTGCAGACTGCATGGCTAGCAAGGGACGACGCAGAATGAGAAATATGGCTACAGCCACGTACACTAGGATGTAACTTGATCCTCCCAGGATACGGTCCCAGATTCTGAGGATAGGTGATAAACCAACAGATGATAAATCTACAAAATAGGTGATAAACCAACAGGTGATAAATCTACAAAATAGGTGATAAACAAGCAGGTGATAAATCAACAAGACATGTGATATATCAGTAAGACAGGTAGGTGAAAAGCCAGCAACAGAAAATCAATAAAATTGGTGATAAACTGACAGGGGACAAATCAACATAAAGGGTCATAAATTGAGATAAAACATAATAAAACAGGTGATAAAAAGGAGGTATCTGATACACCAACAAAGTAGGTGATCAATCAACAAAGTAGGTGATCAATTAACAGGAGGTGTGATAAACATCTGATACACCAACAAAGTAGGAGATCAACTAACAGGAGGTGTAATAAATATCTGATACACCAACAAAGTAGGTGATCAATTAACAGGAGGTGTGATAAATATATGATACACCAACAAAGTAGGAGATCAACTAACAGGAGGTGTAATAAATATCTGATACACCAACAAAGTAGGAGATCAACTAACAGGAGGTGTAATAAATATCTGATACACCAACAAAGTAGGTGATCAACTAACAGGAGGTGTAATAAATATCTGATACACCAACAAAGTAGGAGATCAACTAACAGGAGGTGTAATAAATATCTGATACACCAACAAAGTAGGTGATCAACTAACAGGAGGTGTAATAAATATCTGATACACCAACAAAGTAGGAGATCAACTAACAGGAGGTGTGATAAACATCTGATACACCAACAATGTAGGTGATCAACTAACAGGAGGTGTAATAAACATCTGATACACCAACAAAGTAGGTGATCAACTAGCAGGAGGTGTAATAAATATCTGATACACCAACAAAGTAGGAGATCAACTAACAGGAGGTGTAATAAATATCTGATACACCAACAAAGTAGGTGATCAACTAACAGGAGGTGTAATAAATATCTGATACACCAACAAAGTAGGTGATCAACTAACAGGAGGTGTAATAAATATCTGATACACCAACAAAGTAGGAGATCAACTAACAGGAGGTGTGATAAACATCTGATACACCAACAATGTAGGTGATCAACTAACAGGAGGTGTAATAAATATCTGATACACCAACAAAGTAGGTGATCAACTAACAGGAGGTGTAATAAATATCTGATACACCAACAAAGTAGGAGATCAACTAACAGGAGGTGTGATAAACATCTGATACACCAACAATGTAGGTGATCAACTAACAGGAGGTGTAATAAATATCTGATACACCAACAAAGTAGGTGATCAACTAACAGGAGGTGTAATTATCTGATACACCAACAAAGTAGGTGATCAACTAACAGGAGGTGTAATAAACAGGACAAATTACTTGAGTCACAGCAACACTCAGGAAACAAACATTAATGAAGCATGAATGCTTTCCCATAAAATAAACAAATGGCACTGTCTAGGTTGTCAGGAAAGAGTGGACAACCTAGACAATTCGATGACTTACTTTAGATGACTTTTCTTTTTCTTCTTCTTCATGTTCACCAGTTGTAAATTCAAGCAGAGAGTTCTGGTTGTTTGTCTACTTCTGGACTTTAATTTTGTTCCAGAACTTGAGTTTTGAATGCACATTCGTTTTTATTGATCTGATTTATTATTTTCTTCTTCTTCGCCTTCACCTGCTGTAACCTCCTGGGGAAAGTTCTGGTTGTTCTTCCACTTCTGGATTCAGAACTTCAGTGGTGCATGCACATCTGTCTTACAGATCTGACTCAGTTGTATGCAGACTGTTGGTTCCTCACCTCTAAGGCAGATGCACTCCAACTTTGAAGGAAGCTCCCAGTTAGTCGACTCTTATGGCCTGCTTCTGGGTAGGCAATGGGTGTATTTTTGGGTCCCCCCCCCCCCACAATGGGGCACTGGAACCCACACAGGGAATCTGGTTTATATGTATGCAGACTGACCTTTCCCCACCTCTCCCGCAGATGCACTCTGACTTCAAAGAACACACCCTCATTAGTCCAGTTTTACCACACGCTTGTTACAAGGGCAGTGGGTCTATTCTTCTTCCACTAAAGCTGGGGTCCCAGAACCCACATGGGGAATCTGATGATCCAGAAGCAATCTCAAACGTTTGAATGTACCTCTCCAAGGAAGTATCCGCAAGGATGTTGGCAAAGCAAGTGTGGAACCAATCCATCAAGGGCAGATCACTGATGACATGATGCTGAGCCAAATGGGTGTAGAGTTTCTGCCCTTGCTCTTCTGACCTTAAACACTGCATTGTGTGTTCCGGCTGTAAATGATAAAAAAGATTTATTTATTCATTAACTTTTTCATTCATTTGTCATATTTCTTCTTCTACTGTAACTTCAGGCAAACATTGGTGAATAGGAAGGCCGACTGTGGTATGTACTCTTGGCAAGTTACATGCTGGCAACAGTTAGCTGTTTCATTTTCTCCTATATGTGGACTAACAGTATATAGTTCCGTTTCACTGAGTGCATGGCAGGTGAGCTAAAGATTACATTTGGAATTCTTGTCGACTGTACCCAAGGTGTTATGTGTTGTGGACTGGGCTGTTCCCAAGGTGGAATGTGTTGTGGGCTGGGCGGATTCAGAAAATGATGAGTTGCGTGTTGTCACAAAACTGACAGGGCTGTATAAGATTACAGTCACAAAACTGACAGACTTCCAGTTGAAATAGAGGATTAGGCACGGCAGAATGTTAGGCTTCAAAGTTATTTTTGTCTCCAACAACCCTGTGCTAATGCAGTTTCCACATAAGGACGGTAGTCTATAGTTTCACTGCCTAAGCTACTGAGTTTAGTGCTTGGTGCAGCCCTGTGAGCTGTGTTTTTCACGTAGAATGCCTTTTACTTGTTCAGCGGCTGTGTCGTGGTATTCAATATGGCTGGTAGCTGGATTACATGTAAGCTTGTGAAATACTTTATGTGAGGTTCTACATGTGTATAGCCAACTGTTTATCAGGCCTGACTACCCCCATCAACGACGAACTGCGTTTCTGGTGGCAACTGATGGCTTTGGCGCCTCTAGAAACTGCCATATGCATTTACTGCGTGCGCATATTTTTGGATTCTTCCGGTACTAATTGTTTATTCAGCAGTTTTTTCAAATTCGACAGTCAGGAACATTTAATTTGATTTGCACTGGCACAGGAACGGAACAAGTATGGGGTGACCTGATTGTGGTGGAGCTGAAACCTCGACTAAGAATAAGATTAAGACATGACAGGGCTGTATACAATTAATTAGACACCACCCCATGCTGAATATTACTCCAATTTATTTTAGCTCCAAATTAGGAAACAAGAGTATATGCTCCTGTCAGCTCAGGGTAATTAACTCCACTGTAGCTGAAGCTCCAGTTCTCCCACCTGTGTAACTCCACCTCTCCCACCTGTGTAACTCCAACTCTCCCACCTGTGTAACTCCACCTCTCCCACCTGTGTAACTCCAACTCTCCCACCTGTGTAACTCCACCTCTCCCACCTGTGTAACTCCAACTCTCCCACCTGTGTAACTCCACTGTAGCTGAAGCTCCCGCTCTCCCACCTGTGTAACTCCACTTCTCCCACCTGCGTAGCTCTACCTCTCCCACTTGTGTAACTCCACCTCTCCCACCTGTGTAAATCCACTGTAGTAGCTGAAGCTCCAGCTCTCCCACCTGTGTAACTCCACTTCTCCCACCTGCGTAGCTCTACCTCTCCCACTTGTGTAACTCCACCTCTCCCACCTGTGTAAATCCACTGTAGCTGAAGCTCCAGCTCTCCCACCTGTGTAACTCCAGCTCTCCCACCTGTGTAACTCCACTTCTCCCACTTGTGTAACTCCACCTCTCCCACCTGTGTAAATCCACTGTAGCTGAAGCTCCAGCTCTCCCACATGTGTAACTCCAGCTCTCCCACCTGTGTAACTCCACTGTAGCTGAAGCTCCAGCTCTCCCACCTGTGTAACTCCACCTCTCCCACCTTGTAACTCCACCTCTCCCACCTGTGTAACTCCACTGTAGCTGAAGCTCCAACTCTCCCACCTGTGTTCTGCACTTTTGTCTCGGTATTTACCACACGCACTGTATTAACTGGACGAGCGCCAGCAGCTATGGACACGGATCGAGCAGCTATGACTGCTACAGCTGCGTGGGTGCAAACAGCTGTGACTGCTACAGCTGTGACTGCTACAGCTGCATGGGTACAAACAGCTGTGACTGCTACAGCTGTGTGGGTACAAACAGCTGTGACTGCTACAGCTGTGACTGCTGCAGCTGTGTGTGTGAGTTGGGGTCTGGGTAGCCAGGGAGTGGCTGAGGGAAACAAGTGGGAGGGACAATGTCCGGAGTGGGGGCTGCTGGGGGTAAGGGGAGTGGGGGATGTACCAGACCAGGGTTTAACATGAACCAACAGTGAGGGGAGGCTGGGGGGAGTAGGGGATGTACCAGACCAGGGTTTAACATGAATCAACAGTGAGGGGAGGCTGGGGGGAGTGGGGGATGTACCAGACCAGGGTTTAACATGAATCAACAGTGAGGGGAGGCTGGAGGGAGTGGGGGATGTACCAGACCAGGGTTTAACATGAATCAACAGTGAGGGGAGGCTGGGGGGAGTGGGGGATGTACCAGACCAGGGTTTAACATGAATTAACAGTGAGGGGAGGCTGGGGGGAGTGGGGGATGTACCAGACCAGGGTTTAACATGAATCAACAGTGATGGGAGGCTGGGGGGAGTGGGGAATGTACCAGACCAGGGTTTAACATGAATAAACAGTGAGGGGAGGCTGGGGGGAGGAGGGGATGTACCAGACCAGGGTTTAACATGAATCAACAGTGAGGGGAGGCTGGGGGAGGGGGGAATGTACCAGACCAGGGTTTAACATGAATCAACAGTGAGGGGAGGCTGGGGGGAGTGGGGGATGTACCAGACCAGGGTTTAACATGAATCAACAGTGAGGGGAGGCTGGGGGGGGGGGGATTGGGGGATGTACCAGACCAGGGTTTAACATGAATCAACAGTGAGGGGAGGCTGGGGGGAGTGGGGGATGTACCAGACCAGGGTTTAACATGAATCAACAGTGAGGGGAGGCTGGGGGGAGTGGGGGATGTACCAGACCAGGGTTTAACATGAATCAACAGTGAGGGGAGGCTGGGGATGTACCAAACCAGGGTTTAACATGAATCAACAGTGGGGGGAGGCTGGGGGAGGGGGGTATCGATAGTGACAGGTATTTATATATATATTTAATTTATTTATTATTATTTAATATTTATTTATTAAACTGCAACATTCAGTGTATAAGTCAACCCCAATTTTAAACTCTAAAAGAAAAATATGGGGGAAAAGCTATCATCTTATACACAAAGAAATATGATAATTGTAAATGCAAGTATGTTATTCTCCTTGATCTAGTGGTAGTGACTACGATGTTAAGTCTTCTCAGATAAACGCTAAAACTTGTACCTCAAGTAAAGTATGCGAATGACCCTTATCACACCCCTGGTGTATCAGGTATATGTTGTTAGACTCACATTTGTGTAGACCCTTTGGGGGTTCAATGACCCTTTTACAACGATGAAAATAATTTTAGGGTAGGGGGTCACCACAACATGAGGGACTGTATTAAAGGGTCATCACAACATGAGGAACTGTATGAAAGGGTCACCACAACATGAGGGACTGTATTAAAGGGTCATCACAACATGAGGAACTGTATGAAAGGGTCACCACAACATGAGGAACTGTATGAAAGGGTCACAGCATTATGAAGTTTGAGAACCACTGGTACAGGCCAATCGAGCCTCCATGGTTGATGTAGTCAATTTGACACTGGCTCCCTTAACTTCTCTGCATGTTTTCCCCATTTGAGGCTCAGACACGGAGCATGGCTATTCAACTTGTGGGGTGCTGGCTACAGGCATAGGCCCCGCAGATCATTGTTCAACTGTCTGTAGTGTATTCATGCTTGTGTTTTCTGGCTTCTGGCCTGTGATGATCCCCAACATTCTGGCCTTTGATGATCTCCAACATTCTGACCTGTGACAATCCCCAAAATTCTGGCCTGTGACGACCCCCAACATTCTGGCCTGTGACGATCCCCAACATTCTGGCCTGTGACGATCCCCAACATCCTGGCCTGTGACGTTCCCAAACATTCTGTCCTGTAACAATCCTCAACATTCTGGCCCCTCAGTGAACAGCTGAACAGCCCTGCTTTGTGGGATGTGGTGAGTACGGCACCTTTTTTGGACACTGCGTGGTGAGTACCGGCACCTTGTTCAGACACTTTGTGGTAAGTACTGGCATCTTTTTTCAGACCCTTTGTATTGAGTACCACCACCTTCTTCAGACACTGTGTGGTGAGTACTGGTACTTTTCAGATACTACATAGTAAGTACCAGCACCTTTTTTCAGACCCTTTGTGGTGAGTACTGGCACCCTTTTCAGACAATTTGTGGTGTGTACCGGCATCTATTTTTCTCGAATGAGGTAGAAAAAACAGCACTGCCTATGAAACAACAGTGAAAATAAGCCACTACAGAAATTGAACACAAAAGCTAACTGGCTTACAAAGAGATGCAAATTGGCGTATAATGACTGGCTGATGTAGCGATAAAATCGTGTGGAGATCCAGAAGAGATCGACCTCTGAACTCACTAAGCTGCAGACTGCTTGAACAATGGACAGGAAGTACTGGTTATCTGGGTCCTGATCCTGTGCAGACAAGATTCAAATAGATAATCATTGGAATACTGAAGTTACTGCTGCTTCTTCTTCTTTTTCTTCTTCTTTTATCGTCTCACTGATACCAGGTTGTAGCCCAGTGACCAGCAAGACTCGAACAAGTCTACTGCAACTGGAAGATGAAACTTCAAGACCACAGTCACCCTCACATTCTTTTACATGCTTCTTTAGAGAAGCATCTTGACCTGTCTGCAATAACTTTTTTCTCTTTTTTCCCTTTTCCCTTCCTGATTTTCATCTTTATATGCAACACAATCCATGCTATCCTGTTGGCATGCATCCACATCAATACCTGTATCAGTCATGTTCAGCTTAATTAGCTAAGCAGTTTGTCCACACTCTGGAGGTTGTTTGTGCGTTACTTTGAGACTAGGCCCCCCAGTTCCTAAAGGGGACTTTGAGACAGATCTCTGAGGACTGTGTCAGAAGCTACACAGTTTGTGCTTGACTGTAATTCTCTCGGGAGGCAGCTAGTCATTCTGTAGAGAAACAGAGAGATCCAGCAGGCATATGGGATCAGACCCAATGCAACAAAGTTGATCATCTCTGCTCTATCAGTTAAACATCATTCACCACATAAAGTTATCATCTATCACATTATCACTCACCACATCAAGCTATCATCTATCACATTATCACTCACCACATAAAGCTATCATCTATCACATTATCACTCACCGCATAAAGCTATCATCTATCACATTATCACTCACCACATCAAGCTATCATCTATCACATTATTACTCACCACATAAAGCTATCATCTATCACATTATCACTCACCACATCAAGCTATCATCTATCACATTATCACTCACCACATAAAGCTATCATCTATCACATTATCACTCACCACATCAAGCTATCATCTATCACATTATCACTCATCACATAAAGCTATCATCTATCACATTATCACTCACCACATGCTATCATCTATCACATTATTACTCACTACATAAAGCTATCCTCCAACACATTATCACTCATCACATAAAGCTATCATCTATCACATTATCACTCATCACATAAAGCTATATCTATCACATTATCACTTATCACATAAAGCTATCATCTATCACTCATCACATAAAGCTATCATCTATCACATTATCACTCATCATATAAAGCTATCATCTATCACACACCACATACAGTTATCATTTATCACATAAAGTTACCACTTTTTAAAGAGCTATTAAACTGGTGGAACCTGGGGATCTAATGTGTTATTGATTTTTCTATGAGGAGGCTGAGTCACGACAATTTCCATTTTCAACAAACTTAGTTGAACAGCCATGATCTATAATATAACTCCTCACAAACAACTGTTATAAATTTTTCAGTCACTCACCACAAACTGTTATCAATTTTTCAGTTACTCACCACAAACAAATGTTATCAATTTCTCAGTCACTCGGCACAAACAACTGTTATCAATTTCCCACTCACTCACCACAAACAAATGTTATAAATTTCTCAGTCACTCGCCACAAACAACTGTTATCAATTTTTCAGTCACTCATCACCAACAACTGTTATCAATTTCTCAGTCACTCACCACAAACAATTGTAATCAATTTCTCAGTCACTCATCACAAACTATTGTAATCAAAAACTCAGTCACTCACCACAAACAATTGTTATCAATCACCCAGTCACTCACCACAAACAACTGTAATCAATCACTCAGTCACTCGCCACAAACAACTGTTATCAATTTTTCAGTCACTCATCACAAACAACTGTTATTAATTTCTCAGTCACTCACCACAAACAACTGTTATCAATTTCTCAGTCACTGACCACAAACAATTGTAATCAATTTCTCAGTCACTCATCACAAACAATTGTAATCAATAACTCAGTCACTCACCACAAACAACTGTTATCAATTTCTCAGTCACTTACCACAAACAACTGTAATCAATCACTCAGACATTCATTACAAACAACTGTTATTAATTTCTCAGTCACTCACCACAAACAACTGTTATCAATCACTCTGTCACTTACCACAAACAACTGTAATCAATCACTCAGTCATTCATCACAAACAACTGTAATAAATTACTCAGTCACTCACAGCACAAACAACTGTTATCAATCACTCAGTCACTCACAGCACAAACAACTGTTAGCAATCACTCAGTCACTCACCACAAAAGACTGTTATCAATCACTCAGTCACTCACAGCACAAACAACTGTTAGCAATCACTCAGTCACTCACAGCACAAACAACTGTTATCAATCATTCAGTCACTCACACCACAAACAACTGTTATCAATCACTCAGTCACTCACAGCACAAGCAACTGTTAGCATTCACTCAGTCACTCACCACAAACAACTGTAATCAATCACTCACTACAAACAACTGTAATCAATCACTCACCACAAACAACTGTAATCAATCACTCACACCAGAAACAACTGTAATGAATCTCTCAGTCACTCACCACAAACAACTGTAATCAATCACTCACACCACAAACAACTGTAATCAATCCCTCACACCACAAACAACTGTAATCAATCACTCACACCACAAACAACTGTAATCAATCACTCACACCACAAAATACTGTAATCAATCACTCACACCACAAAATACTGTAATCAATCACTCACACCACAAACAACTGTAATCAATTACTCACACCACAAACAACTGTCATCAAACACTCACACCACAAACAACTGTCATCAAACACTCACACCACAAACAACTGTCATCAAACACTCACACCACAAACAACTATCATCAATCACTCACACCACAAACAACTGTAATCAATCTCTCAGTCACTCACCAAAAACATCTGTAATCAATTACTCACACCACAAACAACTGTAATCAATCTCTCAGTCACTCACCACAAACAACTGTAATCAATCACTCACCACAAACAACTGTAATTAATTACTCACCACCAACAACTGTAATCAATCACTCACCACAAACAACTGTAATCAATCACTCACCACAAACAACTGTAATCAATCACTCACACCACAAACAACTGTAATCAATCACACCTAAAACAACTGTAATCAATTACACCTCAAACAACTGTAATCAATCACTCACACCACAAACAACTGTAATCAATTACACCTCAAACAACTGTAATCAATCACTTACACCACAAACAACTGTAATCAATCACACCACAAACAACTGTAATTAATCACACCACAAACAACTGTAATCAATCACTCACACCACAAACAACTGTAATCAATCACTCACACCACAAATAACTGTAATCAATCTCTCAGTCACTCACCACAAACAATTGTAATCAATCACTCACACCCCAAACAACTGTAATTAATCTCTCAGTCACTCACCACAAACAACTGTAATCACTCACACCACAAACAACTGTAATCAATCACACACACCATAAACAACTGTAATCAATCACTCACACCACAAACAACTTTAATAAATCACTCAGACCACAAACAACTGTAATCAACCACTAACCACAAACAATTGTAATCAATCACTCACCACAAACAACTGTAATCAATCACTCACCACAAACTACTGTAATCAATCACTCACAACACAAACAACTGTAATCAATCATTCACACCACAAACAACTGTAATCAATCACTCACCACAAACAACTGTAATCAATCACTGACCACAAACAACTGTAATCAATCACTCACACCACAAATAACTGTAATCAATCTCTCAGTCACTCACCACAAAACAACTGTAATTAATTACTCACACCACAAACAACTGTAATCAATCCCTTACCACAAACAACTGTAATCAATCACTCACACCACAAACAACTGTAATCAATCACTCACACTACAAACAACTGTAATCAATCACTCACACCACAAACAAATGTAATCAATCGCTCACACCACAAACAACTGTAATCAATCTTTCAGTCACTCATCACAAACAACTGTAATCAATCACTCACAAACCAAACAACTGTAATCAATATCTCAGTCACTCACCACAAACAACTGTAATCAGTCACACCACAAACAACTGTAATCAATCTCTCAGTCACTCACCACCAACAACTGTAATCAGTTACTCACCACAAACAACTGTAATCAATCACTCACACCACAAACAACTGTAATCAATTACTCACACCACAAACAACTGTAATCAATCACTTACACCACAAACAATTGTAATCAATCACTCACACTACAAACAACTGTAATCTATCACTCACACCACAAACAACTGTAATCAATCACTGACACCACACACAACTGTAATCAATCACTCACACCACAAACAACTGTAATCAATCACTCAGTCACTCGCCACAAACAACTGTTATCAATTTTTCAGTCACTCATCACAAACAACTGTTATTAATTTCTCAGTCACTCACCACAAACAACTGTTATCAATTTCTCAGTCACTGACCACAAACAATTGTAATCAATTTCTCAGTCACTCATCACAAACAATTGTAATCAATAACTCAGTCACTCACCACAAACAACTGTTATCAGTTTCTCAGTCACTTACCACAAACAACTGTAATCAATCACTCAGACATTCATCACAAACAACTGTAATAAATTACTCAGTCACTCACAGCACAAACAACTGTTATCAATCACTCAGTCACTCACAGCACAAACAACTGTTAGCAATCACTCAGTCACTCACCACAAAAGACTGTTATCAATCACTCAGTCACTCACAGCACAAACAACTGTTAGCAATCACTCAGTCACTCACAGCACAAACAACTGTTATCAATCATTCAGTCACTCATACCACAAACAACTGTTATCAATCACTCAGTCACTCACAGCACAAGCAACTGTTAGCATTCACTCAGTCACTCACCACAAACAACTGTAATCAATCACTCACTACAAACAACTGTAATCAATCACTCACCACAAACAACTGTAATCAATCACTCACACCAGAAACAACTGTAATGAATCTCTCAGTCACTCACCACAAACAACTGTAATCAATCACTCACACCACAAACAACTGTAATCAATCCCTCACACCACAAACAACTGTAATCAATCACTCACACCACAAACAACTGTAATCAATCACTCACACCACAAAATACTGTAATCAATCACTCACACCACAAAATACTGTAATCAATCACTCACACCACAAAATACTGTAATCAATCACTCACACCACAAACAACTGTAATCAATTACTCACACCACAAACAACTGTCATCAAACACTCACACCACAAACAACTGTAATCAATCTCTCAGTCACTCACCAAAAACAACTGTAATCAATTACTCACACCACAAACAACTGTAATCAATCTCTCAGTCACTCACCACAAACAACTGTAATCAACCACTCACCACAAACAACTGTAATTAATTACTCACCACCAACAACTGTAATCAATCACTCACCACAAACAACTGTAATCAATCACTCACCACAAACAACTGTAATCAATCACTCACACCACAAACAACTGTAATCAATCACACCTAAAACAACTGTAATCAATTACACCTCAAACAACTGTAATCAATCACTCACACCACAAACAACTGTAATCAATCACACCACAAACAACTGTAATTAATCACACCACAAACAACTGTAATCAATCACTCACACCACAAACAACTGTAATCAATCACTCACACCACAAATAACTGTAATCAATCTCTCAGTCACTCACCACAAACAATTGTAATCAATCACTCACACCCCAAACAACTGTAATTAATCTCTCAGTCACTCACCACAAACAACTGTAATCACTCACACCACAAACAACTGTAATCAATCACACACACCATAAACAACTGTAATCAATCACTCACACCACAAACAACTTTAATAAATCACTCACACCACAAACAACTGTAATCAACCACTAACCACAAACAATTGTAATCAATCACTCACCACAAACAACTGTAATCAATCACTCACCACAAACTACTGTAATCAATCACTCACAACACAAACAACTGTAATCAATCACTCACACCACAAACAACTGTAATCAATCACTCACCACAAACAACTGTAATCAATCACTGACCACAAACAACTGTAATCAATCACTCACACCACAAATAACTGTAATCAATCTCTCAGTCACTCACCACAAAACAACTGTAATTAATTACTCACACCACAAACAACTGTAATCAATCCCTTACCACAAACAACTGTAATCAATCACTCACACCACAAACAACTGTAATCAATCACTCACACCACAAACAACTGTAATCAATCACTCACACCACAAACAAATGTAATCAATCGCTCACACCACAAACAACTGTAATCAATCTTTCAGTCACTCATCACAAACAACTGTAATCAATCACTCACAAACCAAACAACTGTAATCAATATCTCAGTCACTCACCACAAACAACTGTAATCAGTCACACCACAAACAACTGTAATCAATCTCTCAGTCACTCACCACCAACAACTGTAATCAGTTACTCACCACAAACAACTGTAATCAATTACTCACACCACAAACAACTGTAATCAATCACTTACACCACAAACAACTGTAATCAATTACTCACACCACAAACAACTGTAATCAATCACTTACACCACAAACAATTGTAATCAATCACTCACACTACAAACAACTGTAATCTATCACTCACACCACAAACAACTGTAATCAATCACTGACACCACACACAACTGTAATCAATCACTCACACCACAAACAACTGTAATCAATCACTCACACCACAAAATACTGTAATCAATCACTCACACCACAAACAACTGTAATCAATCACTCACACCACAAATAACTGTAATTAATCTCTCAGTCACTCACCAAAAAACAACTGTAATTAATTACTCACACCACAAACAACTGTAATCAATCACTCACACCACAAACAGCTGTAATCAATCACTCACACCACAAACAACTGTAATCAATCACTTACACCACAAACAACTGTAATCAATCACTCACAGTACAAACAACTGTAATCAATCACTCACACCACAAACAACTGTAATCAATCACTCACACCACAAACAACTGTAATCAACCACTTACAGTACAAACAACTGTAATCAATCACTCAGTCACTCACCACAAACTTATTCTGCATTGGCAAACGTCCTTCCTGTATCAGCTTCATTCTGAGAATTGTATGTTCCTGTAGGCAGTCGACAGACTCTGGGCTCAGCAAGACCACAGCCCTCTGCAGCTCTCTCACCTGTTCCACACGATGGCTCCACACAAAGTCCTGGCTGCTCAAATAGACAGGTAAAATACCTGGCAAGAAAAGGTGAACCAAACCAACATTAACATTAGTTAGATGCTAGATCATCACCACTGCACAAGAAACAATTCAGTCCATAAGTCGGCTGATAAGCATACAAATCCAACTTTGAAAGAGAATAAAAATCTCCATATATCCTATTTATTACCCAGATGTGTTGAAAAGTTTACTGTGTGTTTAAAAACTGCTGCTGCTGTTGCTACAACATCAGTACTTGTGGGTTTGTTTACTATTCTCTTTTGGTTTCCTGCAAAGGGCACTAATCTTGTTTTTTTTATTTTTTATCTTAAGTGTTGTTTTTTTTAAATCCTTAGACTGCAGTCAGTAGGACTAACATCTCAAAGATGAGAATCAAACAGATACAAATCCTAAAATCCCTCTGACTATGCACAGCAGTTATATTAGGGCACTAAAACAACAGTTATGAAGTAATATGTAGTCCAGTGTGGGAGGGTACGAAGTAACATGTAGTCCAGTGTAAGAGGGTACAAAGTAACATGTAGTCCAGTGCGGGAGGGTACAAAGTAACATGTAGTCCAGTGTAAGAGGGTACAAAGTAACATGTAGTCCAGTGTAAGAGGATACAAAGTAACATGTAGTCCAGTGTAAGAGGGTACAAAGTAACATGTAGTCCATTGCGGGAGGGTACAAAGTAACATGTAGTCCACTGCGGGAGGGTACAAAGTAACATGTAGTCCAGTGCAGGAGGGTATGAAAGTAACATGTAGTCCAGTGTAAGAGGGTATGAAAGTAACATGTAGTCCAGTGTAAAAGGGTATGAAAGTAACATGTAGTCCAGTGTAAGAGGGTATGAAAGTAACATGTAGTCCAGTGTAAGAGGGTATGAAGTAACATGTAGTCCAGTGTGGGAGGGTATAAAAGTAACATGTAGTCTAGTGCTGGAGGGTATGAATTAACATGTAGTCCAGTGTAAGAGGCTACAAAGTAACATGTAGTCTAGTGTGGGAGGGTATGAAGTAACATGTAGTTCACTGCGGTAGGGTATGAAGTAACATGTAGTCCAGCGCGTTAAGGTACGAAGTAACATGTAGTCCACTGCGGTAGGGTATGAAGTAACATGTAGTCCACTGCGGGAGGGTACGAAGTAACATGTAGTCCAGTGCGGAAGGGTACGAAGTAACATGTAGTCCAGTGCGGGAGGGTACGAAATAACATGTAGTCCAGTGCGGAAGAGTATGAAGTAACATGTAGTCCAGTGTTAGAGAGTAGGAAGTAACATGTAGTCCAGTGTAAGAGGGTACCAAGTAACATGTAGTCCACTGCGGTAGGGTTCGAAGTAACATGTAGTCCAATGCGGGAGGGTATGAAGTAACATGTAGTCCAGTGTAAAAGGGTACGAAGCAACATGTAGTCCAATGTAGGAGGGTATGAAAGTAAAATGTAGTCTAGTGCGGGAGGGTATGAAAGTAACATGTAGTCCAGTGTAAGAGGGTACAAAGTAACATGTAGTCCAGTGTGGGATGGTACAAAGTAACATGTAGTCCAGTGCGGGAGGGTATGAAGTAACATGTAGTCCAGTGCGGGAGGGTATGAAGTAACGTGTAGTTCACTGCAGTAGGGTATGAAGTAACATGTAGTCCACTGCGGGAGGGTACGAAGTAACATGTAGTAAAGTGCGGGAGGGTATGAAGTAACATGTAGTCCAGTGCGGGAAGGTACGAAGTAACATGTAGTCCACTGCGGTAGGGTATGAAGTAAAATGTAGTCCACTGCGGGAGGGTATGTTGTTGTTGTTATCGATCCAGCCGCGCATGAGCTTTCGCCCTTTGGCCCAATGCCATGTAGTGGAATTTGCATGTTTTCACAAGCTGTTCTTTTCCTCCGTACAAGGTGTTCCACTTGTCTGGTCTCAGAGGGAGTAGCGTTCTTCTTGTCTCACTGAGTTTTGGGCACTCAAAGAGATGGTGTTCAACAGTTTCGTAGGGGTAGTTACATAGCTGGCACTCTGGGGAGTGTTGTGGCTGTATTCTGTTTAGGTGTCCATTGAGTGGAGTATGTTGCGTTCTGTCTGAAGATGGTGGCCTGGTCCCTTCTTGTTAGATGGTTAATGCTGTCATTAGGATCAGGGCCAGACATATGTCTATAAACCTCTCTTCCAGTGTCTCCCATGGCCCATCTGTTCAACCAAGTCTCTTTGTTTATAGCTCTTATCAGTGTTTTTGCTGTCTGGAGGGTTGTCGCTGTAGGTGGTTGTTCTTGTGTTGCTCCTTTCTTTGCCAATCTGTCAGCTCTGTCATTACCTGGTGTGCCGGAGTGACCTGGAATCCACTGCATCACTATTCTGATGTTGTATGAGGTAATAAGCTGATCAGCATCCAGGATTATCTTGGCTATGTCAGTTCTGCAGCGTTCACTGCCCTCCAGAGCTTGAAGGGCAGACTGAATCTGTGAAGATGACAATATTTTGGACCTTTGAAGGGTAAACATCCATTACAGTCTTTAGGTGGTATACTGCTGTTTCCAGTGCAGTTATTTCAGCTTCATAGTTTGAACAGAATTCCCCGCATGCATCAAAAATCTCTTCAACAGATCCATCGGGATAACCTATGTAGATTCTGTAACCTGCTTTAATGGTAGCTTTAAATGCTGATCCATCAGTATAGACATGTATCCATTCTTGGGGGTAAGAATCAACTGTCCCTAGTGATGAGTTCATAAGAGCGATTGGGTAGGACTGTTTGGTTTCCTCGCCTACCAATTTAGTTCGGACTTCTGGAGCTTTAAAGCGAGCATGTGGTGGTAGGTTTCTTGCAACATTCTGAATTCCTTGACGTCTTTCTGGGAGGTGGTATCTGTCCTGAATTTCATTAACACAGTGTAAAACCGATTTGTGCTTTATTCTTTGTTTGTATTCCCAGTTTTCTACAAGATGTCTATTAGGATGGTTACGATTTTTCCTAACGCATCTTTCATAAATTTCTAAAGTGGCTTTTTCTCTCCGCAACCCGAGGGGTTCCACATTCGTATGGATTTCACATGCAGCAGTTGGTGTAGACTGCATAGCTCCGCAGATTATTCGGAGGGCATTATTTTGTACTCTGTCAAGAGTCTCTAGGTTAGTTTTGGAGCAAGTTGTAAGCAGTGAGTTGTTGTACTCTATCACAGAGCGAACATATCCTAGATATAAGCCCCTCAGAGTTTCCTTGTCTGATCCCCATGATGTACCTGCAAGTCTCTTTAATAACTGTAACCGCCTCAATGCCTTATTCCTAATGTTTTCAATATGGTTCTTGAGGCTGAGCTGCCGGTCAAGTGTGACTCCAAGGTATGTGGGATGCTCTTCTTTCATCACTTGGTGTTTGTCTAACCTCAGGTTAATATTCTTCCTTGCTACTTGGTGGCTTTTGGTAAAGATTGTGTAGACCGTCTTTGCACAGTTAACCTTGAGTTTCCATCTTTGGCAGTACTCATGCAGTCTTCTAAGGTCTCCATTCAGTCTTTGGGCTCCACTTTCCACATTTTCATGACTCTGCCATATTGCTAGGTCATCAGCGTACAAGGCTTTTTCAGCCTTGATTTGTTCTGGCAGGTCATTGATAAAGATTAGGAATAGTGTACAGCTCAATGATGAGCCTTGTGGCAAGCCCTCCTCCAAGACTTCTTTAGAAGAGATTGCGTTGTGCATCTTAGTCTGGATTGTTTTATCTATCAGGAAGTATTTTACCCAGTTATACAATCTGCCATGTATTCCTATGCTCATCATCTTCATCAGGAGACCTAGTGTGGGAGGGTACAAAGTAACATGTAGTCCAGTGTGGGAGGGTACAAAGTAACATGTAATCCACTGAGGGAGGGTACAAAGTAACATGTAGTTCACTGAGGGAGGGTACAAAGTAACATGTAGTCCACTGCGGGAGGGTACAAAGTAACATGTAGTCCACTGCGGGAGGGTACGAAGTAACATGTAGTCTAGTGGGGGGGGGGGGGGGTACTAAGTAACGTGTAGTCTAGTGTTGGAGGGTACTAAGTAACATGTAGTCCAGTGTGGGAGGGTATGAAGTAACATGTAGTCCAGTGTGGGAGGGTATGAAGTAACATGTAGTCCAGTGTGGGAGGGTACGAAGTAACATGTAGTCTAGTGTGGGGGGGTACGAAGTAACATGTAGTCCACTGCGATAGGGTACGAAGTAACATGTAGTCCACTGCGATAGGGTACGAAGTAACATGTAGTCCACTGCGATAGGGTACGAAGTAACATGTAGTCTAGTGTGGGAGGGTACGAATTAACATGTAGTCTAGTGTGGGACGGTATAAAGTAACCTGTAGTCCACTGCAGGAGGGTACGAAGTAACATGTAGTACAGTGTGGGAGGGTACAAAGTAACATGTAGTCCACTGCGGGAGGGTACAAAGTAACATGTAGTCCAGTGCGGGAGGGTACGAAGTAACATGTAGTCCAGTGCGGGAGGGTCTCGATGAGTAGTTTTATGTATGACATGTTCTCTGTTAAAGCCAAAGACTGGGGAGTGTATACCACACCTGACACACCACACTGTGTGGGGAGCTTTGAGCGGGGAAGTGCACTGGGGAGGATACTAGACACTGTGTGGGGGGCTTTGAGCGGGGAAGTGCACTGGAGAGGATACTAGACACTGTGAGAGGCTTTGAGCGGGGAAGTGCACTGGAGAGGATACTAGACACTGTGAGAGGCTTTGAGCAGAGCAGTGCACTGGGGAAGATACTAGACATTGTGTGAGGGGCTTTGAGCAGAGCAGTGCACTGGAGAGGATTCTAGCTTTATCCTAGAAGAAGAAAAGAAAAAAAGCCACACACAAAAGTAATGTTCTACAGGCTCTCTTAGCTCTGGTTGGCCAAGAAGGGCGCTGCATGGTGTTTGCCTCGAGTGCTAGAGGTTCTGAGTTCAAGTAATTCTTTCTGGTCTCTGGGTAGTGAGATCGGACGTCCGTGTGCATTGTTGCACATGTAAAAAAATCCCTTGGCAGTTGGAAATCAAAGAGTAGCTGGGCAAAGTTTGGAGATAAAAATCTACCCAAAGTATTTCAGAATCCTCGCCCGTGCTACAGAATCTGTGCACTGTGCTCAGCTTCTTTGAACTTAAACTTGAGTTAGAAGAAGAACGGAGCACTTACGGGTTACTACCCGTGTGCCATGATGTTGATCCGTTGTTCAAAACCTCAAACGCTGGCTAAGGAGGGAAACTCCGACAGATAGACAGACAGATATGGTAGCTTCTGTAGCACTCATTTTTCCAAATGTATTGGTGTATTGCACCACCATACTAAACCTTGATCTCCTTATGAATTTCTGAAAACAAATGCCGGAGGAAAATGTTGAACATAACATGGTATGGACACAAGAGAGGTGAACCAATAAGAGAAATGTCTGGGCAACCACTAGCATCGACAGTTATAAGACAGAGAAGATGCCATTTAATCACCAAACAGGCACTTCAATGGGAAACAGAGGGTTTGAGAAAGCAAGGATGTTCCAAAGAAACCTTAATATGAATGCTGATGAGAAAGGCTAAGGTGTTGGACTGAATTCCGTCTATGATATTAAAAGGAATGCATAGGACAGAATGTCGAGGCTGACCTCTACTACGATATAAAGATGTGTGCAAGTGAGACATGAATGATACAGGTATTGAGGTGGACACGTGAGAACAAAATGTCATGGCTCATGATGTATGGAGGAGGAGAATCAGAAAAAGAGAATGAGAATAAAGGAAGAAATGACTGCAGAATGGATGAGTACTGAGCATCTGAGAAGAAGACTGACCACAAATGTTGACAACGGTCCTGAAATCTCATGCTTTAACTGTGGAAGACTTTTTCTTTTAACACAGGCGGGCCTTGCTAGTCACACATCGCCACATTTTGTGTGAACCAACTGAGATCTGTGAAGGTGGAACCATGGTCAGACTGCAAGAATAACATGTTAAATGGCGGGTCGCCAAACAAGAACACTACGCGGGGAAGCCAATTAATAATAAATCAACACAGAACTGGTGTAGTTAGTAACTACTCGCTGCGAGATTTACTGAGGAGGGGATCCGAGCACTTATGGACTGAGTGGTTTGACATGCAATGAGAATAATCTGTCGACTAACTAACTAACTAACTAACTAACTAACTAACACTTGCCATCACGATGGGCTATGAGTGCTATGCTTCCTCATAGAGCAATTTAACACTATTATCTAGAAAGAGGGAAAGGTGCCAATCAGTCGCATAGGATAGAAAAGAACAGAGGAACCGACGATGAGCTCTAAGTGATATATATGGCAGACACAAGAGAACAATGATGGTGATTTTCTGCACAGGCAAACAAGGAAAATTTGCTTTTTTTACCCAGCATATGGTGTGTTGGGACATGAGCAGGAAGTAGACTGGCCGGTTCTGCACCACTTGATGATGAACTGATGTATGACAAGCTGGATGTTGTGAGGGCCCTTTGAGGGAGCGAGTGAACAGTGCAGAGGAGCAGATAGATCATTACAGTCTGAGGAGAATGGTGCTGCGAGGAGTTACAAGGGGATTTCGCTGACTCTCCACTCTCCACACTCATGGGAAAGGCTAGAAGAATATACAATCAGACAGTTACTGGTACTATCAGATTTTTAACTCTTTGCTTGCTGCTGAAGATGGGGATGGAGCGCTTATGTGGGTGTCCAAAGTGCCATGATGTAAATTCTTAATTCAACATTCTTTTACCCATCACATCTTAAATAACTTGAATATTGTATACATCTTACCCAGTATAATTTTCCAGACATATGTCCTGTACATGGCAGGTATGCCAAAACGGAGAGAAAACTGAATGAGCTTATCCTTCTTGATCGGTTGCTCTTTCAACAATATTTCAATTGACTTTTTCTCCTCCACAGTTCTAAAGCCGACTTTCTCATAAAAATGAGTCCGGAAATTCCGTTCGTGTTCTGCCATCACTGACCTAAGAAGAAGAATATTTTATATAATCAATGTAACAATACAAAGAATGTTTTTTTGGGTACTTTCTTATTAGCTGACCACAAATAGGGAAAATCCACAGGTTATGGGACAGTCAAATATTTCAGGGGTGGTAGATTAAGCGTATAGTTTTGGTTAGGTTAGGGTTAGATTAACGCACAAAAACCTTGGCCTTGGAAGAAACATGCTAAAATACAGAAAATGTGGAAAACGCGCTCTTACCACCCTCTAAAATACTGGACTGTCCAGTGACGTCATTTGTGGTGGGCTAAAAATAAAGCACCATTTTTTTTATAAATATTCAGCCGGAGCGGTAGTATGAATGTACTGTTGCCAAAGACACCCAAAGTCTCTCCAAGGACATTATTAGCAAATTTCAAGTGTCATTTCTGCCAAAACCTGTCAATATGATGTTTCACTTGCTATCCTCAAGTTCACAGGTGCCTCAGGCACCTTGGTTCACGGGGTGGGGTGGGGGTCGTGTCCCTCCAATAATTGTTTTTAGGCTAAGTCTCTCCCCTTTTCCCCCATTCTCTTCTAATTTGTATATGTATCAAATATTATTTCAAACATTTTTTTTTCAACTTCTGTTCAGTACATAACTATAATAATTATTATTGTATAACATTTTTAGTACTGCACAACATGAGAAATGAGCAAAGATGAGGGCTATCTTCCGAATAACGGTCCCAAATTATTGAGTCCGAAAATATACCCTAACAGAGCCTCAGTCACGTGTCAATTGCAAACTTTCTGCAACTTAAATTACGCACTACAGGTGACTTCCGCCACCGCCGAGAGTATCCACCACGCGTGGATTGGGGCTAAACTAGATGGCTCGGATTCACAAGCAGCAACTACAGCATCTCCTGCAGCTTCCTTCTTGTTTGCTCGTGAGACCCAGCCATCTAGTTTAGCCCCAGTTCAGTGGCGAGGGGAATACTCTCAGCGGTGGCGGTATAGTCCCCGGAAGTACGCAATTCAGGGAGTGGCGGTATAGTCCCAGAAGTGCGCAACTGACACGTGACTAGGCTCTGTTAGGGTATAATTTAGGCCTCGATATTTTGGAACTGTTATTCAGAAGATAGCCGAATTGAGAAATGAAATGAGCAGGCAGTTAGACAGGCTGGCTCTGCACCACTTAATGGTGAATTGATGTATGACAAGCTGTACAAGTTTTGAGGCGCGGACACATCATTACTGTCTAAGGAGAACGGCGCTGTGAGGAGTTACCAGGGGATCTGACCGACACTCAACACTCAGGGGAAGGATTATTATTAGGGTTGCTAATGGATTCCCATTCCAGCAACCCTGATCAGTGCAATACAGAGTTTCTACAAAAGCTGCAGAAATTATGCAAGAACAGCAGACCAAAAGTCAGAAGAATTTAAGACCACCAGCAGTGTTAGACAAGGTGATATTCTCTCACCTTACCTCTTCATTCTTATGATGGATGATGTCATCAAGACCTGTAAGGAGAAGACAAAGAAGTACTCTGTAGGGTACTGGAAGATGAGACCAATCTGTATATTAGAGCTGGCATTTGCAGACGATGTGGCCCTGATAGCTAAATCAGAGGCACACCTTCAGGCCAACTTACTTGTCTGGAAGGAAGGGCTTGAAAAGAGTGGGATGACCATCAGTATCTCCAAAACTAAAACCATGGTGATCTCAAGAGAGGAGAATGAACACCAGATCATGATGGGACAGTATGCATTAGAGCAGGTTAACCAGTTCAAATACCTTGGAGTTGTATTAGACCGAAATGGAGGCATTAAGACTGAGCTGGCTACACGAAAAGCAGCTGCTGGGAGACTCTTCCAGGCCATAAACAGAGGGTTTCTTAGCAAAAGAGAAATTGGCAAGAGGACGAAAATGGCTGTTTACCGCTCTACCTATGTACCAGTCCTGACCTATGGGTGTGAGTCATGGGCAATGACAACAGCTCACAGAAGCCAGCTGCAGGGCTCGGAAATGAGATATCTGAGAAAAGTGGTCCAAGTGACAAGAAGGGACAAAGTCCGCAATCAGACAATACGTCAAGATCTTGATACCCAGCCCTTACAAACCCGAGTGGATCAGTCACAGTTACGATGGTTTGGACATGTATGCAGAATGGGAGAAAATCAGCCACCATGGCAGGCATGGGAGGCTAAGAACCAGGGAACCAGACCTCCAGGACGACACAGGGTGCGCTGGGAGGACAACATCCAACAGTCCCTAACTGACAAAGGACTGGAATGGAACAAAGCCAGAAAGAAAACTGCTGATAGAGACGTCTGGGGATCTTTCTGGCAAACCTCTACACCCCAAGGTAGAAGAGGAGCGACTAAGTAAGTAAGTAAGCTAATGGATTCCAAAGTTGATGAAATTCCATTTTGTTCTGGCTGCACAGTGGACACTACAACCCTGAAAATAAGGCAGAAATGACCCGCTTAGAGAAACTATTTTTCCATACTCAGTTTGTAAAAAATCAGAGAGAGACAATTATTAGGAGATATTGCAGAGATGCCAGGCTGTGGTATAAAAGGTTATGGCACGCAAAAGCTAAATCTTTTTGTTGTTTTTTTTTTTTTTCAGTATGTAGTGTATTTCACTGTAAGTAACGTTCGTAAATATCTTCGAAATCAGTGAGACTAATGCAATTTTTGTTTTGTTTTTCTCTTGTACATACCAGGGTCACCCGTATATTTCATTCTGTATGCGCTCCAGTTTCACTAGCTGACTTTTTGAGACTGTAAGCAAACCCAGTCCATAATTAATCAATGAGATGAATAAGCTCTGGTAAAGTGTGAACAGCATTCTCTGCTCAATGTCCTTTTCTACCATAATCTTTAGTGCATTAAGACCTTTCTGGGACTTTGTCCCAACCCCCTCTTTGTGATCTTTGAAAGACAGGCTTCTGTCAAAGGTGATTCCCAGGTACCGCATCTGCTGTCTCTCTCAATGTCCCTGCCATTTATTTTGAGGCTTGGAACATCAGCTCGAACGATCCCGTTCCAAAGAACACCACAGGACAGTTGCCTTTTCTGGGTTGATCACAGCACTCATCTCTATAAACCAGTTGATCACCTTATCTACTGTCACCTGAACTCTTGAGCAATTTGATTCCAATCTCTCCACTTCCTATATACGAGAACATCATCTGAAAATGTCAATATTCTACCAACTCCAGTTGTTTCCAGTTCCGCAATCTTGCTCGTAAACAAACTGAACAACACAGGTTAAATCGCAGGTCCCTGTGGTAGTCCGGGGCTATAATATGTAGTTCAGAGGTCCATCAACCCAGGGGGAGAGCTACCCAATAAGAATACAAAACAGCTGCCATCCAGTTTATCAACCAAGGACAGACTCCCTCCTCCATAAGCGCTTTCATCAAGATACTATATCTGACTGTTGTAAGTATCTTCTAATCAAGTGCCGCTACCATCGTTTCCTGGTGGCTGCATTTGACCATGTGTCATGGTTGCATTTGACCATGTGTCCTTTCTCGGCCTATACCTTTCCAAACCTCCTGGAAGGAGCTTTCTCTGTTCCAAAAATTCTTGTAGCTTACCCACCACTATCTTCTCCAGCACTTTGCCAAAAGTGTTCAGTAAGGTTAGGATCCTAAAGCGGCTGAGTGTTGAATGATCCTGGCCAGGCTTAGGAAGTGGAATCAGGTAGAAGTGCATCCACTCTTGTGGGACTGGAGCTGTCCTAATGCTCTAGGTAAAACAGAGTCATCTCCAACAGGTCTGCATCGCTCATGTCCCTCATTTTGGAATATCTGATCCTGTCAGGTCCGGGTGCAGTGTCTTTCACCCCTTTTCAGAACAAGTTTTACATCTTTCACCTGTATGATGTCTTCATAATGTTTATTCTTTATGGCAGCTGACAGATCTTCTCTAACCGCATCTCTGTTGTCTCCATCATTGTGGTCTGTCTGTGAAATGAACCTCTTCAGAAAAACCTTCCCCTTCTCTTCGTCTGTGGTCAATAGCAAGCCATCGTCTCTATGAACTCTTCCAGTAAGCTAGGCCGATATTTCAGTTCTTTCGTAATAAGTCACCACAGATGATGTCACGAGGACAGTCAAATATTTTATAGGGGGAGAGGGGTAAGACCTGGTATCCCGGCTTTGTGGTGCTTTTAACTACCTCAAAAGATGTAGAACTAGACCTTACCCCAACCCACCTATGTCCCATTATAGTGTGCAGCCTAGGTACCATGACTGCATGCACCATCTACCACCCCCTGAAATACTGGACTGTATGTTTGGGGTGAATAAAAATAAAAGCACAGATTTTTCTTGAGCATCTGTCTATGTAGCTTCAAAAAAACTTTCCCAAAATTATCACCCCAAATTTCATTAATAAAATGTTCTCATTTTGCTTTTTTGGACTCTGCTGCACAATGCTTGAAAACCTCTATCCTATCTTTCTATTTCTTTCAGCGCACTCTAATTCCTTATGAGTACTTATGGATGTTTTTCCCATTTTCATTAATCGCTTTACTGCAGCTCTCTTCAACTTCCATGCCTGTTCTACCTCTGATGTCCGCCATGGAGACTGCATAAAGGTAGATGTGCCATTCCTCTTCCATGCCCCCTGTTGGAGGTGTCCAAGAAGGGTGTTTGTCCACTCATATCTGAAAGACCTATGAGCTCTTTAAGCATCGTTTATGCAGACAAAATTTGAATCGACCATGGCATCAGCAAGGACAACTTCCTGTCGATGTTCCTCAGTACTGTCCCATTCATTGTTCCGTGCATTGAAATCCCCAAAACTGAGGAACCTGTTGCCAGGGTCTCCTATAGGTATTTCAGCCAGTCCCACTTTTGCTTTGTGACAAATGAACCCACGGGAGCATATTATGTAATATATGATATAGGCTCTCCTCCGAATGTCGTCTCCATATAATGGCGCCCAAACAAATACCATAACAGGGCCTCAGTCATGTGTAAAATGTGGACTTCCTCTGACAAACACATCGCT